TCCCTCTTTTTTGAGTATCAAATTCTCCAAACCTCCCTTTCTCATTACGTGTCCCAGATATTTCAGCTGCCTCTTCCTGATGTTAAGTATGTTTCCTCCTTGTCTGCATCCTCTCCCAAACCTCATCGTTGATCACATTTTCTGTCCAGAATATCCTTAGCATCCTCCTGTAGAACCATACCTGAGTTTCCTCGAGTCTCTTCATCTTTGAGGAAACTATCCAACATTCGCCCGCCGTAAAAGAGAACAGATATCACGTAGGAGTTCAGTACTCTTCTCTTTTTTACCAACGAAACCCTCCTGTCTCGTAATAATCTGTCTAGCTTCTGGGATGTATCACTGGACATCCCATCTTCTGGTGTCAGCATCGCACTTACCGTCCTCTGTTAGAACACTTCCCAGATATTTAAATTTCAGCACCTGCCTGATTTTAGCGTCCCTGGCCTATAAATCGCATTTTGGTCTCATCTTTTTACTGATGACCATTCATTCTGTCTTCTTGTAGTTTATACTTAGTCCCTTCTTCTCACTCTCCTTCGCTACCTTCTTTTCCTACATAAGGTAGCGAAGGTTTTGTAATTTCTTTTACGTGTCTGCTCTCAGCAACGTGTCATCTACGTATCTTATGTTGTTAAGATTGTGGCCTCCAATGAGGAATCCTGATAGGATTTCCAGTTCTCACTGAATTCCCTCTCTCTATAGGTTAAATAAGTGCGTTGAGAAGACACATTATTGCCTTACGCCTCTTTCTATTTTTTATATCTACTGAGCACATTTTCTATGCGTATGCAGGCCATTTGCTGCCAGTATAGGTTCTTGATTATTCTAATATATTTCCCAAATGTATCAAGGGTGCAGAGCAGATCTTTGTGCCGAAATTTGTCAAATACCTTTGCATATTCTATAAAACATTGATGCACATCCTTCTACAGGGTGTCCATAAAGTTCGTGTGCACTTTAAAAAATTATAATTTTATTTGTATTTGCGATAGAAATAATTTGTAAAAAGGATTGTAAATCTATATTTTTTAAGGTTTTATTGAAATTTTATTTAAGTTTCCACATTTCCTCCATCATTAGCAATACAAAGGGTAATACGATTTTGCAGTTCACGGAAAACATTTGCCAACTGATTTACAGTAATGCCTGAGATCACATTAGTTATTTTAGATATACTTAAAACGAGGTACATTAA